AATCAGATGGCACACATCGTTAAAACTAATATTCATTTATGAATTTATATACGTAAGGAAATACAAAATAAAAAAATGCAATGGTGAACATGTGAAAATCTTTGCAAGAACACTTAAAATAAAAAATGTGTGTTTAACCTTCCGTTAGAACAGTGTCATTGTCACAGCATTTGTAATGTGGTTTTTTTTTCAAATACCTAATTTTCATTTTCAAATACCCCATTTAAAATGTTACAGATTTAATTCAGTTCTCTTGTTAAATATTGTCATGAGTGTTCTTATAGGATAAATAGAAATGAAAAAAAAAAAAGGTTTATTTTGAAAAAATCAAATTAAAAGTCAATAGTAAAACTTAATAAGTTTCAAGAGTTTAAATATGCAAAAAAATAGGTTTTATCTTTGATTAAAAAAGAAAAGTGCATATTTATAGTTGTTATTTTTAAACTTTTATAGTTTATTTTTGGATGATTAATAGCATGAAAGAAAAAAGAGAAAATACATTCTGAAATGATGTACACCCCAACTGTTAGACTGTTCCACTCTTTATATTTATGTCCTATTTTTTCTTTATATTTTATTAAGGCAGATTTAAATAAAAAATAAAAATAAAAACATTTAATTTCGTTGGTAATGCCCATTTAAAATATAACATCAAAAAGATCAATTTCTGCCACAAAAACATGATTTATATTGATGAGAGAACAATTCGGGGATGAGATTGATTAAAACTTGAGTAGAGAAATAAAAGAAAAAAAAAAAAAAATAGGAGGAAATTTTAAAATCTGACAAAAAGAAAAAAAAATGTATTTTTATAGGTCATTGTTGAGGAAGACATACCACCGCGCTGGTTCCCACATTTATAAAAATTGCTATAATCCTGCTTTTACCCTACCTAAATTGGATCAGTAAAAATATTATCAGACAAATTAATAACGGAAATTTAGAGGCCAAGTTCAACCCAGACAAAACTGAAAAGTTTTGCTATTATTTAATGTATTTGATAGCATATAAGGCATCTTCCCACCGAGAGAAAGAAAAAAAACAAAAAAAAATACACCCTTTAAAGTTGAAACCTCCCGTAGGCTAATTTTTATCACCAACTCTCATGACAGCAGGTTATAATTTTTCCTCAGATGGTCATTTTTAACTAGCCAAAAACTACAATAATATTCACTCAATTATATAATCATCATTATATAATCCCTCTGTCTTTTTTTTTTTTTACAAATACTTTCATGGTAACTGCTCCAATAAGCTGCTTTCGCTGGTTCCCAGACTTCATGAATTTAAGCATTCTACTAGGCTGGCATCTTGCTCACACCCTTTCACTGTTGAAACTGTTAAATGTAGCTGTCTCTTCTACTCCAATAGCTACATGTCTCACACCTCTCACCTGTGGAACTCCCTCCCCTCTTCCTGTTTTCCTGATAGCTATAATCTCCAACTATTCAAATGTAATGTCAATCCCACATCTCCAGATGCCTTGATCTATCCCCTAACCTTCTCTTCATCCTTTCCTCTATCACTCCTTTTTGTTCTCGCTCCAACTCTGTAACCCCTTGCATGCTAGTGGCTTCCCACCTTGCTTGGGGTGAAATGCTTAGAAAAAAAAATTATTATTGATACTGTAAAAGGAATTATCATAAGTATCAGTGATGTTCAGTTTTATTGCTGTAATAAAATATTTTGACTATTATGATTTCTTACTTTATGTTCAGCTGTAGTAATAAATTGCTTTTTGTATACAGTGAGTTTTTCTGCTACAGCTAAAGAGATTTTGTAATGTTCTGATGGCTGTCTATAAATATAGTTAATATAAATAATAATAACTACTAATCCCAAAAATTCAAACAGAGAAATATGTCCATCATACAAAGCAGCCAAAGAAGAATGATTGGTGAAAGGATGGATACACTCATATTGGGATTTCTTGCTTTATGGTCAGCTGAGCTGCCTGCTTGCTTTTTATATACAGTAATGTTTTCAGCCAGGGGTCAGCAACCTGTTGCTGACTATGTGCCAATTTAGGGTTTTAAAATCATTCAGTGTGCCAACAGCATACATATTTTTATACAAGTCAAGATCAATATACCTGTTCTACAATATATTTTATATAGTAATATATAGTATATATACTTTAGTATATATTAAAATTGAAATGGCTAAATATCTTCTTTGCATTGTAGTAGTCATTGGTTTGGACTTCATGATGTCATTTGCAGCTGCGTGCCATCGGAAATTGCTTGGCATGCCACGTTTGGCATGCATGCTGTAGGTTGCTGACCCCCATTTTCAACTATAGCTAAAGTGTTTTTGATAATGTTTTGCAATGTAGTGTGCCTGCTTTTTATATACAGTAATGTTTTCAGCTATAGCTAAAGTGCTTTTTGTAATGTTTTGCAATGTACTGATAATGTGTTTTGTATATTAAATGCACTAAAAGTTTTTTCCTCTGGAAACAGCCCTGCTGAACGTGTGTCATTTATGACATCAAATATGAAAATTGAAAATATATTTCCACTTTTCTCAATGCAAATTAAATCTTTTAAAAGATTAATTTTTCCATATTTTTTTATTCATTCTATGTATGTATCATTGCATGTGTGTAATTCTTTCTACATCACCAGGACAGTCAACTACATAAAAATGAATGAATTACTCCTTGTCCACAGAGGAGACTCTTCTGACAATAGTAGAAATGTCACATATTTACACTAGAAATATTATACTAAAAAAAAAACTCTTAATAGAAATTGGCTCTATACATAAATAAATCTTTAAAAGTAAGGTATGTTCAATATCTATCTATATTTCTGAGATGAGGTATTAGTAATTACTTACATTGTTGGGACTGTTGTCCTCATCTTTGTTGCCATATTCACAATGTTTCAGCTATTGCCCAATCCAGTCTTCTTCAGGTGATTGAAATTTTGAACTGAACCCTTTATTTCATGGAAGTAGATTGTTCTAGTTCCACATATCATGCCTCTTCTGGATGTCTCAGTTATCGCTCTTTAACTCAACTCTCCAAGTTTTAGCCAGGTATTGAACTCACAACTCTTTGGGTCAAGTTACTGGATCCAACTAACGCTTTTATCCACTGGATCATATGACCTTGAAGACATGAGTGTATGAATCTTTGTGACATATAAACTTAATGTCAAAGTAACCATGGCTGGCTTAGGAGATTTTTGTGACCCAGTAGATGTGCTGATTCCAAGCACAGAAATTAATACAATATGGGAACCAGTAATATAGAGTGCTAGAGAAAAGCAATAACAATGACCAAATTGCAATATGAGCACTAGTAAAAAAAAAAAAAAAAAAAAATGGTACTGAGATATTAAGTTTATAAATTCCAAAAATTCATACTTTAATGTCCTCAGTGACTATACCTGGCCATTGCAGTAGTGAATCAAAACTTGGAGACACTATTTACATTATTCGGACTATTGTCCTCATCTTTGTCGCCATATTTATCACAATGTTTCGGCCGTTGTATGCTCCAGCCTTCTTCAGCTGGTTGGAATGTCAAACTGAACCCATTATTTCACTCACTGGGGTAGATTATTCTAGTTCCACATGCCATGTCTAATGGATGTCAGTTATCAGTTATCTCCTGTTAATTCACCTCTCCAAGTTCTCCTCTGTCTTAACCAGGTATTGAACTCACAACTCTTTGGGTCCTGACACTGGATCTAACCAACACCTTTATCCACTGTGCCATATGCCCTTGAGGACAGAACAGTCTACCCCAGCAAGCAAAGTAAAGGGTTCAGTTCGACATTCCAACTACTTGAAGAAGGCTAAAGTGTACAATGGCCGAAATGTGATAAATATGGCAACAAAGATGAGGACAATAGTCCAAATAATGTAAATAGTGTATATAATACCTCATCTTAGAAATATAGACAAAAACTTGGAGAGTTGAGTTAAAGGTAGATAACTAAGACATCTGGAAGAGGCATGGCACATGGAGCTAGAACAATCTACCCCAGTTAAATAAAGGGTTCAGTTCAAAATTCCAATTAACTAAAGATGGTCGAAGTGTACAATGGCCGAAAGCTTGTGAATATGCCAATAAAGATGAAGACAACAGTCCAGACAATGTAAATAAGGTATGTTCAATTATATATATTTATTAAATATTAGTTTTGTTGTTTTCATCAATTATTTTTCATTAAGCAAAGGGACAAAATTGACAAGATCAGTTGTAATCTTTATTTAATCTTTCTTATTCTATACATGACTTCATTTTCTATACAGAAAGTTTATCTTGCCACTGAAGGTGACTGATCCCTGAACAATAGTGTATTTGAATTTCATAATTGTGTTGTCATATCCTGCTATGGCAACAGAAAACAACTTTGAGTGAAATTAACAATAAGGATGCTGTAATTAAGGGGCCTTGAAAAAGAATGCAGTGGAAAGGGAAATAATATTAATAATTTAGAGTGCTAAAGGTTAAATTTACTTTGAATTTAGGAAGTTTTAAACAAACAAGAAAATACAGAGCAACAAGTTTTTTTATATAAGTACAATGTAATTTTAAAAATTATTTAAATATGCTATTTTTGGATGGATTCAGTAAACTTTTATAATACAAACAGAAACTTGTTGTCAAGTTCATTATAACTTTAAGGTGGTTATCTCATTTGAATTTGAAATCTCATTTCACATATAATCAATGACTTTGGCATTAAAAACATTAAAATACAATATAGAGAGACAGACATTTCACAAATCTTTTACCCATGGTGGGGGGGATGTCTGCAGTCAACGTGCAATATTTGTTTAAACCCATTAACTGTGGAAAGAATTTGCACCATTCACAATTGAGTCATAGAATTGTAATGACAGAAATTCCTGTCATTGAAAGTTAATCATCTCAATGCTAAAGACTTGAACAGTCAGTTGCTTTCAGTTTGGTCTTGATAATTTTATTTCAGCTATCAAACTTCCTGAATTAACTTCAAATTTTTAAAAATATTTCAATAAATTTATGTAAAAAGGAAGAGAGGGAGAGAAAAAAAAAAAAAGGTAAGAAGAGATAAGAGAAGAGAGAGGAGAGAGGAGAAACAAGAGAGGAGAAAGGAGAGGAGAAAGAAGAGGGGGAAAGAGAAGAGGAGAGAAGAAAGAAGAGGAGAGAAGAAAGAAGAGGAGAGAAGAAAGAAGAGGAGAGAAGAAAGAAGAGGAGAGAAGAAAGAAGAGGAGAGAAGAAAGAAGAGGAGAGAAGAAAAGAAGAGGAGAGAAGAAAGAAGAGGAGGAAAGAGAAGAGATAAAGAAGAGGAGAAGAGATAAAGAGGAGAAGAGATAAAGAAGAGGAGAGAAGAGATAAAGAAGAGGAGAGAAGAGATAAAGAAGAGGAGAGAAGAGATAAAGAAGAGGAGAGAAGAAAGAAGAGAAGAGATAAAGAAGAGGAGAGAAGAAAGAAGAGGAGAGAAGAAAGAAGAGGAGAGAAGAAAGAAGAGGAGAGAAGAAAGAAGAGGAGGAAAGAGAAGAGATAAAGAAGAGGAGGAAAGAGAAGAGATAAAGAAGAGGAGGAAAGAGAAGAGATAAAGAAGAGGAGGAAAGAGAAGAGATAAAGAAGAGGAGGAAAGAGAAGAGATAAAGAAGAGGAGGAAAGAGAAGAGATAAAGAAGAGGAGGAAAGAGAAGAGATAAAAAAAGAGGAGGAAAGAGAAGAGATAAAAAAGAGGAGGAAAGAGAAGAGATAAAAAAAGAGGAGGAAAGAGAAGAGATAAAAAAAGAGGAGGAAAGAGAAGAGATAAAAAAAGAGAGGAGAAGAAGAGAAAAGAAAATGGAGAAAGAAATGACAGAAAGAGAGAGAAAAAATGAGAAAGAAAGATAAATTTCAGATTTTTCTTTTTCAAAAGGAAATTATCTTTTTAAGCAGAAAACAAATTCTATTCAAAGTACGAAGAGTCTTACCATACAAGCACTACGGCAACAGCCTGCAACACATTCCTGACCATGCTGAATGAAACAGGAACTGGTTTTAATATGAATATCATAAAAGTGAAAGAAAGAATAACAACCAGTCAGCACAAGCTACCTGACTTAGGTGTGTCAGAAGAAGAAAAAGAAGCTGCAACCATGATTGAGAGAGAAGATGATGAGGCGAAGGACAAGTAGCAACAGCAATGAATGGTATGCAAGTGCTAAAATTTGGATTCCTTTTCAGCTGCCAAGTGCAAACACCAAATACTTGCAGTACAAGGAAATAGAAAAGTTTACTTATTCTAATTATAACACAAACATTGAGGATCCGACACAAGCAAGAGTCACGCTGATTTTTTTTCTTTTACTTTTTTTTTTTAACAGATTTTACAAGAAACTATTGGTTAAGTAAAGACTAAACATATCATAAGGCTCCATAACTATTCCATATCAGATGCTACACAAAAGTTCAGGAATTTGAACCGACTAATATCTTCCTCTGTTAAGGTGACCAGTGTTTTCCCAGGTCTCACCAGTCATTTTACACATCTCTTCAAATCATTCTAGCAGGAAATAAGGGACCACATTTGCTATCAATTTTTTCTTTCTTCAAGGAAACAATTTCATGCTTTCTCCAAACTTTTCAGCAGCATCTCAAAGAGTAACAAGATTTACTAAGCACAAGGCCAAAATAGATGGACACCCAGTGGGGATCACACTACCCTTGTATTGACACAAGTTAAGCCTTGCTAACTACTATGCCTTGGCAAGCACACTCAGCTTAAACTCATCTAGCACAAACAAACGGTACCCAATGAGGATCAAATTCACTAAAAGGGTAATGTTCTATTAGGTTAACTTGCAAATAAATGTTCAACAGCTAGACACTTATTTTACTAAGCTTAATCTGGTACAAGGTTACAAATGGAGAGCACTCATTGATATGCAACTGCTTATTTAACTTGTTCGCCCCTACACTATGGTGAGGCACCTTATACAATATAGTAAGAACATTGATCTAAATTTTTTGTCAGATGAGACACTTATTATTACAAGTGGAAGAAATAAACACAGAAGTGAATAAACTACATTAAATTAAACGCTATAAGACATGCCCTATGGCAAACATAATGAGAAAAATCTGCCCCATGAATTGAATAAAAGGTTCAGTTCAAAATAATAGGTTACTGAGTACAGTAGACACCTGAAGAAGTCCAGAGAGTACAAGGGCCGAAATGTTGTGAACACAGCACTAAGATAAATATACTATGGTGTCTGGCCGCTTGTATTCTACTAGGGCAGTTAGTCAATCCCTGTTGCAGACACCTGTTCAGGCACATTTTGTTTGTTCAACACCCTCAGAGTCCACCTGTGGTTTATACTGAGCAAACCGTAGTTATAATTTCTGTGAGAGAGTGCATTATCTGGTGTGATCAACAGTTTGAACAAGGCCAAAATGCTGAAACCCTCGGTCAAAATGACTTGTGTCTTCATGCTAGCACAACCACTGACAGCTCCCATCAATTTTCAAACATTGTGGACTGACGATACAGAATCGCAAACAAAGAACTGCACCAGATAGCAAAAACCACATCATTTGAGGACTTGCAACAGCTAAAAGGGATATCAAATGTAACTCAAAGGAAATATAATAACATAATCAAGATGCTGATGTCCCACATTATTTTGAAGACAAGGTTAAGAAGGATCACCCCCCCATCAATACCAGAAAGAGCAATAACAGTTACAGAACATGAGAAACCATTTTCTTTGATTAGTTATTAAAAATGGCTCCAATCTTGAAGACAATCTTGAATCAGACCCTATAGACTGCCACTACAAAATCACAAAAGCTTTAGCAAATACTCTTCAAGAGCTCCTCAGTTTACATGAGCCAGACTGTGAATCTTGGCAAAGACCCTTCTTCGAACATTGTAGACTGGTGCTACAGAATCACAAAGAACTTTACCAAATAACAGAAACCATACAGAAAAAATTATTAGTTTATATCACTTTAATAAATTTGACATTAACTTTTCTTTTTTTCATGCTTTTATCTATCACATGCAATGTAAGCTTAACTGAAATAAATATTTGCCTATCATTTTACTATTAAATAATAATGTTTGTTTTTACATCACATATTTATTCAGATTTTTCTTTTAATCTGTAACTAAAAACTTTACTATTGACATTTGTCATAAAGTCATTGCTGGATTTTTTATTTATTAAATTCACAGCAACTTAATTGTTTTTCATTTTAATTTGTTTTATCTTATGGTTAACATTTTCTTCCTTTTTTTTTTTAGATTTAATAATCAGTTAGCTCCATTTTGAAGCACATTTGGTGAAGATCCTTTTTCTTCAAACATTGTGGACTGGCACTACAAAATTACAAAGCACTGTATCAGATAACAGAAACAACATCACTTGAGGACTAACAACAGCTAAAATGAATATCACATGTAACTTGAAGGAAAAAAAAATGACATAAGATGTTGACGTTCTACACTAATTCAAACAAAAAGTTAGGAAGGAAACCCCATCAATAATGGAAAGAGCAATAATAGCTACAACCTATTTTCTTGAAAGATTGTTTTAAGAGAAAGATTTTATAAATTTCAACCAAAAGCAATACTAGCTTCTCAGTCAGTGAATACTAAATGTTTCCTTATAAGGAAATAGCTAATGCTACCATTGACACTGTAACTTAACTGAGACATTGGTTTGTTATTCTTCAATAAAGGTAGAAGGTTTGAGTTTTAACATGTATAGCTGGCCACTCGTATTTGAAGATACCTGTCCAATCCCTATTGCAGACGCTCTTGGCACATCTGTGTTTATTCAACACCCACAGAACTCACCTGTGGTTTATACTGCAATTGTACTGAGAAGACCTTAGTTACAGTTTCTGGGAAAGGACATGTTATCTAGCATGATCAACAATTTGAACAAGGCCAGCACGCTCAAGCCCTCAGCCACGATGACTTGTGACTTTGTGCTAGCACAGCTATCGACAGCTTCCACGGGCTCCGTCTACCAAATTTCACTCACAATGCTTGTGTCAACCCGTGGTATGGTTTTCAGGCATTTTCCAAAAGTGCCACTGGGATTGACCCCCCTCCAGTCCAATAGTATAAGGAAGTCTACTTCCTTACAAATCGTCTATGGTGAGATTCAAACTCGGTTCTCGGGGTCTTAATACAAACGTTCTAACCACTCAGCCATGTGCTCATATGACTTTTACATAAGAACATATATACATTAACTACTCAACAAAAGCATTACAGATTTTTAAAGATAAAACTAGAATGAGAAAACAACCAAAATATCAAAAGCCTATGTAAGTCATTTAAATGTATTAACTAAATAACGGAAATAAAACAGCTACCAAATTCTAAAATCACCCTTCAAAATAATAGAAATTAATATTTACCAATTCCTCTGTGAGAACAATTGCATCATTTAAATAACTGACCTTGTGTCACAACCTAACCTGGTGGAAGGGGCCTCTATTTCTATTATTTCTATTATTATTGCCAAATCTAAGATGAGATATTTGTGTAACTGCTGTCAGAATTTGCAAAAATGTTGATAGAACCAGATGCATTGGATAATTAAACACTTTTGAACCAACAACATATTTTAATAGATGATAAATATTAAAGAATTGTTCAATTTTCTGATAATCAGCTTTAAGCAGAATTGCTTACAAGAATAGAAATAATTAAAAATTCATATCATTGTATTCAAAACAAAGTTTTGGGCACAAGGATTATGTATTCGGAAATACAGAAGTATTGCTGAATATATATAATGCAGGTTTTGTCAAGATAAAATAATTTTTCCTCTGTTTCTCACATGTATGGAGCACTTGCCTTACAGACTATTAAAAGTGAGCTTAATTTTGGATTGGGTGCCCCATTTATTGGGTCTTGTGTCAAAGTTAGTAGAGACTAACAAATATATCTGGAAGCAAGTGACCTCTTTTGACATTACCATCTGTTAGCTATTAAACAGACAGACTGAATTGGAGACTGATTAACTTCATATTAAGATATGTCGAATTTCAAAGCAAGAAATAAAAAAAAGCACTCCAAAATGTCAGTCTTACTATCAATGTGATTAAGCATCTGACTACTTCTTTCTCCCCCCCCCCAGTGAAACAACTTTTTCAAGGAGCAAAGTATCAAATACTAACAACCTACATTACAAGGGATCTTGAAAAGTTCTTAGCCTGACCAAGAAACCCTTTCAAACAAAAAAAAAAAAAAAGAATAACGAAAAAAAAAAAGAGAATATAAGAAAAGAGAATATAACAAAAAAAAAGAATAACAAAAAAAATAGCCTAATGGACTTAACCCTTTGAGCCTTGACCACCACTTTACTGGCGATAGAGAAAAATGACATAATGCCCAGTCACCAGTTGAACGGTGGGTAAACACTTGTAACTATTTTTATATCTACCATGAAACATTACATACCAATTATCTACAAATTTCGACTCAGGAGCTCAGGCAGAAGTTTTAAAATTGTTCAGGAACGCAGGGCTCAAAGGGTTAGGCATCAGTTTGGGAACTTGGTGACATTGTAATTGAGAGTTCAATCTCTGGATTCAGTAGTGCAAACAAATTCAGTGGAAACAGGGTGAGTAATAACTGAACAATACTAAAAAAAACCAAGATATCCCTAAACATGGACAGTGAAATGAGAACGATCTATCCCTGTTGATTAAATAAAGGCTTCAGTTCAGAATTCCCTGAAGGTTATTCAACAAACACCTGAAGACGATCTTAGAGCCCAAGAGTTGAAACATTATGATAAGAATTATCAAAGATGAAAACATTATTCCAAATGCAAACAACATAAAGAAAAATAAAAAAAAATAAACAACAATTACAAACTGATCTTTGACCCTTAAGAGCACCCTTTCTAAAAACTAATAGAATTTCTTAGAGTTTGGATAATAATCACCGCATGCTGGTATATACCATGTGAATATATAGTAAATGTTCATTGCAAGCATGAAGTAAATGACAATAACAATTTTTATCTCTTAACTATGAAAAATTTCTAAAATGTGAAAGAATTGGTTTTGTAGTAAAATTGTATTTGATTGTAAGTGAGAATGACTGCTAAACTCTCATATATATATATATATATATAGTAAGGTAATGAAGGGTTTGTATTCTCTGTGGATAATTCCAAAGTGGATGTAATCCAGAGTGCTTAATGTAACACCAGAGCAATTATTAATTAATTAATTAAAAATGAGACAACCTTAAGGTTCCATGACTATAATTTCCCCAGAAAAAATTTTTTTTTCTGGTTCTTCAGGTCATCTCTCTCTCTCTCTCATATATATATATATATATATATATATATATATATATATATATATTTCTCTATCTTCTTCTGTCACAAGGTTTTATGCTAATTAGTTTTTAGTGGTTTTATCAATGAATACGGTTTTATGTCATTTCCTCTTTAGCAAGCTTACCCTGAAGATTCGTTTAGGTGAAATCTAGGTAGGTTGTTCATGGTTCTTTAGGATTTATTCTATATATATATATATATATATATATATATATATAAAGAAAGAACAGCAAGATATATAATCCGGTGTTCTTATAGATATTTTTATTTTTACAAAATAGTGCTCAAAAAAGAGAGAGAGAGAGACATGCCCTCTGTAAACTAACTATATATATATATATATATATATATATATATATATATATATAGAGAGACACCCTCTGTAAACAGAGGGAGTGTCTGTTAGGGCTTAACGCGATTTCAACTTAAATTGTATCCTACATTCATCAATACTACATTTCGTTTTTATGTTTTATTTTCTTGCAATATATAATCCCTCAATCCAGCTCTGTTGAGTAAGGGTGAAACCAGTCGGTTGTGTTTTATTTGTTCACTTTTCTTTTTTATCATGAAAAGTAAAGTCATTTTTTATTGTCTGTCTATATCTCTGAGATGAGGTATGATTATTTACATTATTCTGACTGTTATCCTCGTCTTCATTGCATATTCACAATGATTCGGCTGTTGTATGCTCCAGCCTTCTTCAGCTGATTGGAATTTCAAGGATAACAGTCCAAATAATGTAAATAATGCAAGTAATCATACATCTCAGAGATATAGATAGAAAAGTTCTATTTAATCTATACTTGGTGGGGGGAGAGATCGATTCATACCTTTTTCAAGGGTATTTGTGCATAATATAACAAACCTGAATGGAATTTGAACTCAGCTCTCTGATTTCTCATTCCTGCTATCCATTACACCAACTACACATCCAGAATACCAAAAATTATAATACTTAATGGTACAATTCTCACTAATCCATTTTTATAGCACCAAATCACAAATAGTCACAAAATTGGCTGTCCAATCCCCCAGACCTGCTTGTAAAGAGCTTTGGGATCACTCCAAATGTACTGATCATGATAACTTCCCTTCAGCTTTGCCTTATCATCCTCTAGGATGGCCACATTATCCACTGTCAGGTTGAGTTTACTTACATCAAGGATATCTACAGTTTACTGCAGGGACAGTTTGAAAGCAAGCCTACTAAACCTCTAGTGTTCTCTTCAATAAGCTCACAGATTTTGTTTATACCAGTCTACATTACCATAAGATTTATTATTATTACAACCAGCATGCACAACTTGGTTATTATACACACAACATTTTAACCAGTGTAACCTCTAGCCTTCGTCAGGTATCTTTTGTTGTACATGGTAATTTTCTCAGAACTTTGGATAGAACCCTTTATTTAATCAACACAGAGTTAAATTGTACTATTTTCCAAACCACCACAAAAAGACTTTTAATCGAATAAAAAATAAAAAAAATGCCCTGCATCTGGAAAGTGGAATGAGAACGATCCACCCCATGGATTGAATAAAGTGTTCTGCTCAAAATTTCCATAAAGTTATCTAGTACACCTGGAGAAAGCTGAAGAGTGAAACAGTAGAAACATTATAGGAACTAAGATGAACATGTTAGCCAGAATAACGAAGCACATATTACAATAATTCTTTATCTCAAAAAATCCTGATATAAATTGCAGTCTTGATTCTCTTGACTGTTCAATCCCTTGAATCTGCTTGCAAAAAAAAAAAAAAAATTGAGATTGTTCCAAACGTACCAATTTCTGCAAAATCTTCCCTCTTCGGCCTTACCCTGTGATCCACTAGGACAACCAGTCAGGCCGAGTTTCTTTTCACTTTGTCTACTCTAATTAAGCCTGGCTTCCTAGCTCGGATAAGTTATCATTTTGCAAAAGTAATCAATAAGCAATTTGTCACCATGGACAACAAACTCTCCTGAATGAGAAGATTGATGGATAGGCTAATCAGTTAGTGGGAAATAAAAACAAGGTTTATTAGAATAAGAAATTAATTCATTCCTTAATCACTGAGAGCTTCATCATGATTAGTGGCTGGCCTGGATTCAAGTCACAATTGGAAAATAGTTCATGACAAACAAAGTAATACCACAATATCAACCCAACACCAAGGCCAACATAAACTCAATAAGACGCACAATTCTTCATTTAAAGGAAGATATTTATAACACTTAAGTATCATAGATTTTACAAATATACAAACATAACGGTTCTGATAAGAATGAAATGTCCCACATTTTGTGATTTTCTTTATCCTAGACATCTAGGGCAGGTCCTCAAAACCATCTGATATAACGCTTTGAACTTTTAGCTGTTTGGACCTTGGGTACACCAGCAATGTCTCGTGTGGTAACCAGAACAAATCTACTATGTTTTTCATGATGATAAAGCACATTTTTGTTGGCCTCATCTATTGTGAAAAAAAAAAAAAAATGAAAGAAGAAAAGATAAGAATGCAGAAAACACTTTCACGCTTCACACAAGCTTTGTTTAAAGCTATCCTAGTCTTTTTGGCCTGTGTTAAAAAAAATTTTTCCAAAGGTCAAAGGTTTTTCAAGTGATATATGATCACCACTTTATGTTAATTTCAAAATACCATTCATTGGGTTTGGTCAGGTCTGGTTTTTAAGATATGCTTGAATACTTCACAATAAGTTGTACACAATAATAACACTTATTCAAAAGCCTGTGGACTCTACTTGTCACAGCTGATCGTGGGTGCTGATGTTTAGTATAGCATATAATGTTGTATGTGTACCAAACTACAGTGTACCACCTTACTCACTAACACCCACATACCTACAGGGGGCAGGGCTTATCCCTAAGCTTAAAATGATTTTTATGTACTGTGTCAAGTGTTAATGATGAGCTGAGTGCCGATTAATGTTTTTCTCTTTTCAACTTGACATTTGTATTCCTGTAAGAATGGATCACAAGTGTAAGAATAATCCTGACAGATTCTGTTATATCTGTGGTAAGGTGGTTCTTCCTATCTGTCAAGCAAAAATCACTGACTTTGTGAAGAAGGTATATTGCAATTACTCTGGGGTCAAACTAGGGGATCAGGATAAGCCATTCACTCCCCCACGTTTACCATAAAACATGTGTGGAGAAATTGAAGGATTGGAGGAATGGTAAAAGAAAGAGTTTGCCATTTGCCATTCCAATGGTCTGGAGGGAAGGAAAAGATCACATTACAGACTGCTATTTTTGCATGATAAATCTAAAAGGAATAAATTACAAGAACAAGCTTCATGTCCAATACCCAAATGTTCCTTCTGCCATAAGACCAATTCCTTATGGCCCAGACATTTCTGTTCCTGAGCCAGATGGTAACATGGTATATAGTTTTGGTGACATGACTGTTGTATCTGGGAATGACAAATACAAGCCAGAAGAGGACGACCAGGCAGTACCCTTGACACAAGCAGAACTCAATGACCTGATATGAGACCTGAACCTTTCAAATATGTCTGCTCAGCTGCTAAGTTGACTTCTCAAAGAGAAAGATCTGTTGGCACCAGGAACAACGTTCTACTGGTATTGAGACAATGAGAGAGAATTAAGACAGTTTTTCACATTCCAGGATAAGTCATCATTGGTTTATTGCAACAACATTGCTGGATTGATCAAATCAATGGGATTAGAGTATAATGCTACAGAATGGAGATTTTTCATTGACTCATCCAGCAGAAATCTCAAAGCAGTTCTTATACATAATGGGAATAGTTTATTCATCTATCCCTATTGGGCATTCAGTACAAATGAAAGAAACTCACAACAGCATGGGTCATTTGTTGTCTGCTGTTAACTCCCAGGAGCAAAAATGGTTGATCTATGGGGATCTTCAGGTGGTTGGACTGGTCCAAGGGCTCCAAGGTGGGTACACAAAGTATCCTTTGTTCTCTGTGTCTCTGAGACAGCGCTTGGCTGATGACCAACCATTATGGCAGGCAAGAGTGGCTGTTAAGACAAGGGTTAAAACCTGGCTTACATAATATTCAGTCTCACACTCTCATTGAACTGAACAAAATACTGCTTCCACCCTTACCTATCAAGTTAGGAGTAATGAAGAACTTTGTGAAGGCAATGGACAGAGAAAGCAGCGGGTTTGCTTTCCTCCAGAAGAAGTTCCCATGGATAAGCATGGAGAAACTCAAGGCTGGTATATTTGATGGCCCTCAAATAAGAGAGCTCATGAAGAACCCAATGTTTAACGAAGCACTGAGTGAAGTTGAACTGCCCGCCTGACAGTCACTGAAGTCAGTAGTTACAAACTTCTTGGGAAAACACCAAAGTGTAGAATACGAGAAAGAAATTGAAGAGCTACTGAAGAGTTTCCGCCAACTCGAGACACAAATGTCAGTCAAACTGCACTTTCTGCAGTCACTCTTGGACTATTTTCCAAAAAACTGTGGTGATTTGAGTGAAGAGCAGGGTGAGTGCTTTCACCAAGACATTTGCATTATGGAAGAGTGCTAACAAGGCTGGTGGGATATAAATTTTATTGCTGACTGAAATGGTGTTTGAAATGGGATGCGGTGGCTGCCATGCACAGGAGGAAGTCCTTGAAATGACCTTTCCTCCATGAATAGCTTCTTTTGTGTATTTTCAGTTTAATGTGGCACAATTCGACCTTTCTGCGAATATATCAGCCCTAAATTTATTATTTAATTCAACAAGAAAATAAATAGAGTTATAATACTCTTCTATATATTTCAAGTAAGAGCTTGTATCTTAAAAATTTGATCTTATTAGAAAAAAATGAGTATGATTTTTGGATTCAGTGTAAAAAAAAAAAAACTGAATTAAAATCAGCTATTATATATTCGACCTTGAAAACATTGCAGGCCAGTGTTATCAATCTCTTATCTCACTGAGCCTGAAATATCAAAGGGTTAATTAAAACAAAATGAACCTAGTCATGGATGTAAGTATTTACAAGATGACTAATCTCTTTGATTGATCAACCACATGAGAATTAACGATAAGACTGAAATAAACTGGAAAACTAACTCAAGAACATTTCTAAAAAAATTATAATTTTGCCTTCCAAATGTAAAAAAAAAAAGCATTCTTCAAGTCAATCAGTTGACATCAAATTCTAACATTTCTAATACAGTACCATTAATGACAGTAAATGACAATTCATTTCAGTAGTTTTTTTTTCATATTATTTAGTGCAATACTAGGTTAACTATTCAAAATTGTGTTAATAGAATTTATTTTATGCTTATAATAAATACAAGGGTTATCAATGTGAAAAAAAATTCAAATTCAGTTTTTCTTTCTGGCAAATCCATTTCTTAGAGATTTATCTAAACTTCAGATTCATTCTCATATACAATAAGATTTCCAAAAAGGTTAACATACACACACACACACATTATTATATATATATATATATAAGTGAATATTGAAGTCAACACTCAGAGGCAACAGGCGGTTTCATGCTAGATGCAATCATCAGGCCTGATAATTGCATCTAGCATGAAATCATCTGTTGCCTCTGAGTGTTGACTTCAATGTTCACTTTTATATTTACATACACTATTACTAATATTAAGCACTTTATCACATAAATATAGCATACTTTAAAACTATATATATATATATATATATATATGTATATAAATAAAAGAAAAGAACAGTAAGATATAAAATCCGGTGTTCTTATAGATATTTTATTTTTACAAAATAGTGCTCAATGTAAATTTACAGAGCATTAATATTATAAATTAATTGATTTAAAATATGGTTATTTTTGCTACACAGTTCAACCATGTTTCAAAAATAGAAGCTAAAAACCCTAATTTTATTTTTGCAAATAAATTAAAAGCATTAGTTCTATTTCATCTTCAAGCGAATTTTGGAGTAACTTTTATAATTTACCGGGTTTAAATACACAGCTAAAATCACGTTTCCATGGTTACAGAATATTCTACTCAAATTGAACACGGGTGTCTAGATTTTCCTTATGACAGTATCATTGTATCAGTTATTAGCTACATTTTGGTAAGGGGGTGAGGATGTATTTTACACTGAAACCTGACGTCGGTTGAATGGATGTCGTCTGAATTAAAAAAAAAAAAAAAAAAAAAAAAAAAATTGTTAACGGTAAAAATTTTCAACGTCATCTTTTAAAATTAAAGATTTTTTTTACAATACTTTTTATTTAACTACGATTTGAAATATTTTCCTTTTTAATTTTTATTTTACTATATTCTTTTTAAGAACAGTTAAATGTATTAGAATCCATTATATTATGTAGGATTATTTTAACATTAAGTTTAAGTATGTATATGAGGTTACATTTTTTTTTTTTTTGTATATGACTATGACAGCAGAAATGGTTACTTAATTTCACTGATTCAGTAAACTTTTCTTTTATATATAAACCTATTATAATATTTCACATGTAAGTACTGAGGACATGGGTCATTCAAAAGCTTACATGTTATGGTATTTCATATTAATATTCTGTAACCATGGAAACGTGATTTTAGCTGTGTATTTAAAACCCGGTAAATTATAAAAGTTACTCCAAAATTCGCTTGAAGATGAAATAGAACTAATGCTTTTAATTTATTTGCAAAAATAAAATTAGGGTTTTAGCTTCTATTTTTGAAACATGGTTGGAACTGTGTAGCTTAAAATAACCATATTTTAAATCAATTAATTTATAATATATATATATATATATATATATATATATATATATATATATATATATATATATATTATTTAAAATAACTATAACAGAGCACATCTGTGTGATTATTTTTTTTAAATGCAATATATATATAATTTTAAAAAGAAAACATGGAATATATATATATATATATATAATTTTAAAAGGAAAACCTTGGCCTGATGATTGTGTTTAGCATGAAACCGTCTGTCACCTCTGAGTGTTGACTTCAATGTTCCTATATATATATATATATAAATTTGTGATATTTATAGAGGAAGAGTACTCAATATGAGGGAAAGTGCTTATAGACATAGACAGTGTGGACACAGGAATCAATAATGCATGGAGATTGCCATTTTAGGCTTCAATGTAATATTCAGGCCAAGATCTGAAGCATTGAAGCGTGAAAAATTAGAGTCACTACACAGTATTGGTTTATATGTTCACACCCTTTCTCTTTATATATAATTCTGTAGGTGAGCAGGAAAACCACACTGGATCAAACAGTGGTTTCTCCGACAAAGTGGGTGGGGGCAGGCTCGAGCCCTGCCAAAAAGCACATTGTTTTTATTAAGATTTCTTGAATATACAGGCCAATAAATGTAAAACACATTGCTTAAAGTAGAAATAAAATTGGGGGCATCTATTTCAAATACAAGTATTTACTATAATAACTTTGAAGTATCATATATCATCCACAAACAGACTGTTTTGCCATATCACAGGTCCTCAGTGTGGCTAGTCATCCGATTGCTTCAGGCCGGGATCTGAAATCGACTGATTTGACATCAGTTGGATATCTTACCCCTAAGCCATTGTCACACAGCAGAAAGGAAGGGAATTTTAACATTTTTTTATTTCTATATGAAATATGTCAGCGGCTCAGAGAACTCAATTCATACTCAAAGAGTAATGCTTAATAGCAGTAGGGGCCACTGTTTTTAAAACCCCTTTCTTTCAAAAAACCCAACCGGATTTCTGGGGAGCATATATATATATATATATATATATATATATATATATATATATATATATATATATATATTCCAAAATGTAAAAGTCAATTTTATAAAAAATATAATTTGCTTTAAACACTAATTTAAAAAAAAGTTTTTTTAAAGAATAGTCAAGAATCCATGGTTAAAGTTTCCTCTCAGGTGAAGATATTTTTTTTTCAGATTTGATTGCTCAGTATTTTAAGGAAGGTACAATAGTAGTCTTGTATATAACTGTTAAACTAATAAGTAACATGGACTCATAGTCTTTCATTAGTTTGATTTCTTTTAATTCTATGCTTATTTTGATTCACACATTCTAGAGTCTTAAAAATTGTCATCAATTCCCAAAAGTAATTAGGTGTGTGTGATTTTATTGGATAAAGAAACAAGCTTTTGTACAGGAAATAGGGAAAATGGACAACAAAAAAAAAAAGTCAAATATTATTTGTCCAATTGAATAATCCTTTCCAAGTTAAAATAAAATTCACACCGGAAAATATAGTAATATCTTTTATACAATTTTCTGAAGCCATACCAAGATACAATAATTTTTTTAAGACAGGGATCACAGTTTATTTCTAAAATAAATTAAAATAGTATCACACCAAATAAAGTAACTTTAGGTAACTTTCAACCAACTCATCTTCAGAAATTGATCTCATTGGTATAAAACTAAATTGCCAAAAAGAATTTTTTTTTTTTTTCTCCAACAACCAAATTTTAAAATAGCAAAAATGGAGGAGGGGATAGAAAAAAAAAAAAAAAAAATCAAGAAAAAAAAATGAAATATTTTCCCTCAATCTGGCCTAGAATTGACGACAGATTCACCAAAAAGTGTGAGTTTGTGCTTTAATTCTCTCTTCTAACACAGGGTCAGACATTGTATATTAATAACAACTGTCTTCGAGATGTTAAGGTGGAGCCTCGTCCATGCCCTGTGCAGAACATAGGGAAAAAAAAATCCTCAGGGTAGTCAGTCCTACAAGTGACTGAATTTAATAAATGTTTGCCAATAGCAGACTCATGAGCCTGTGAGCACCTGGATGTTACAGGTAAATGTATTTGACCAGGGACATACTGGGTGATTCAAACCTCCAACCACTAGGTAGGCTTACTGACATAGCCCCACACTGCTGTTTATGTTGATAAATGACTAAATTCTGTTGATGGGGAGGCAAGACATTTTTACAGACAAAAGGAAAAGCCCTTCTAGTAGAAAAAATATTCCGGACTATTACTGATTCAAAACACTGACTGACTGAAGATATTTTATCAGTGTATACCTAACTACTGGGACTAATCCACGGTGGTCTCCTATATACAAGACACTTAGATGAACCAAACACTTTAACTCCATTAAACTTAGCAATTTTAAGTCCAATGGTAATTATGATCACACATTCTGGGGTAACTATTTGCCAGAAACTGTTGTTTAATTTGCCTGAGCTCGGACTTC